ATACATATGCAACTTTAGGGGGACACAGTACGCATGGAGAGACACACAGCAACAGAGTTCCTTCAGGGAGCATGGAAGAACAGAATTTCTCAGCAAAGAAAGAAAAAATACAGGAGTTGAAAGACATTGTAGTGGACATCTTTTCATTCCATTATGTAAAAAAATAATGCCGATATTAAATGTTCTACTGGGATCGCAGTCAGACATGCTAAATACTAAATTAAAAAAGAAAACAAAACACAGAGAAGATAATTCCATTCTCTAAACAAACATACCTCTCCCACACTGTCTAAAAGTTGCACCTATCTTTAATTAAATTATATTGTTTTTCTCAGTTATCAAGTTGCCAAACTCCTGGGGGAAAAGAGTTATGTTGTTCAGGGTGGAAACAATGAGAGAAAGAATGAGCAATTGTTGAAAAATGAAGCATGATTTTGGAGAACAGCACAGGATGGGGGTTGGGATCAGGCCAATTATGGAGGAAAAACCGCTTCCCTGTGGATTGGCCTGTGTAGGGCAAGAGGTGAGAGGAGGCACTAAAGGAAAGTAGGCAAGTGATAAAGATAAGCTTCAGTAATTTTAAAATTCAATCTGGTCTACAGATTTCTTCCCCAACATAAAATTATAATTTTGCCCTCTCCTTGTACTTTTGGTATATTGCTATCTATTTCCTAGAGCTTATTTACCACACACACACACACACACACACACACACACACACGTGCGCGCGCATGGTCTGACAATTAAGTTCATGAACTCATCCTAGAAAAAGTGCTACATACGTCATTGTTAAATATCACTATGGTAACCTTCAAAGTACTCCCTTTGGGAAGTTATGCACCATCACCAGTGGCTACTCCACCCTTCAAAGCAATTTTGGAACTCTTTATCTGGAATGGCCATCAGAGCTATCGTTATATTACCCTTGATGTCCTGAATGTCATCCAAATGTCTTCCTTTCAATATTTCCTTTATCTTCGTGTAAAGAAAGAAGTCACTGGGAGCCAGATCAGGTGAGTAGGGAGGGTGTTTCAATACAGTTATTTGTTTACTGGCTAAAAACTCCCTCAAAGACAGTGCCGTGTGAGCTGGTGCATTGTCGTGATGCAAGAGCCATGGATTGTTGGTGAAAAGTTCAGGTTGTCTAACTTTTTCACGCAGCCTTTTCAGCACTTCCAAATAGTAAACTTGGTTAACTGTTTGTCCAGTTGGTACAAATTCATATCGAATAATCCCTCTGATATCAAAAAAGTTTAGGTGAACATAATTGTCAGACCCCATACACACACCTATTCTCTGTTCTCTCATGAGCCTCCGTAATTTCATTTCTGATTCTGGTGTTCTGGATTAAGGAGAGCCAATATCCATAGCCCTGAAATATTTAATAATAAGTTGGAAAGACAAAACAATAAAAGTGGCAGAAGTTTTTCACTAGCTTCAATGAAAACATGGGTAATAATTTAGCTCTAAGCCGAAATCTGCTTAGGCTCACACATTCATCAAAGCAGTCAACGGGCTGATAAACCTTTTGCAGCACAGAAATAAAGCATGTGTGGCAATGGTGTGCAGCATGTCACAGGGGGCCCAGCCTTCTGGCCCAGTCCAGCCTGTCCGGTCCACTGTCTGCTTTCTTTTAACATCCACCAGCATTAGGGAAAAGGACTTGAAATAACCCAGAATGGCTTTAAATAAATGTTTTAATGCAGGTTTGGCAAAGCTCACCTACAACAGAAAAAAATGTTGCTGGATATCTTCCTTTGATCTTGAATTTTAAGCCATTTTTATTGGAGGACAAAAAAAGTTCTTGGTAAGCCTAAGATCTTTTTTTAACCTTATTTTGTTAAACACCATTAATGTTGATTTATTGGTGGTGAAAATTTGATAAAACACAATTGGGAGAGAGAGATAAAGACAAATTGAATTTCAATTAAGGGTCTGTGAACTAGGCAAATGTAGAAATCAAAGGTGTGTGTGTGTGTGTGTGTGTGTGTGTGTGTGTGTGAGTGTGTGTGTGTGTGTGAGTGTGTGTGTGTGTAAAATGAAAACCAGATCTTTTCACTCTCCTGCTTCAGTTCATTCAGGGGCCTCCCACTGCTCCTAGGTTTGCTCTTCTTTTGCCCTAATTATGGCCACAAAATTATGGCAGAGTTGACCCCTGCCATCTTCATCAGCTTTCTCAACATAAGCCGCAATAGGCTCCCTTCAAGGACTCAAAATAACCCCGCTGCTTATGGCCTTGGGGCCTCTGACTGGAATTGTTGCTGGAATGCATTTTCTCCCATTCTCATCTACTTAATTCTTAATCATCCCTCACAAGCATCGCAAACATCACTTCTTCAAGACCTTGAAAAACTTCTGAAATTCCCCCACCAGAGGCCGTCACCACCACCCTCCATTTCATTGTGGCAGTCATACTTGAATTGATTTTGAGTTGAATAATGCATCCCATAATGTTTTGTTAAATGACAAGCTCACCCACAAGAATGCATTGCTAGGAGAGCACGGGCGGTGTTTCCTGTGGTCCTGTGATCTGACCTCCCTCAGTGAGGGCAATCGATAAATGCATGTCAAGTTAATGAGCAAATCGATGGAACAAAGAGCAGAAAGCAACAAATTATAGGTAAGAAGGGCGCATCTGATAAAAAACCGACCGTCCTAACACAGGGCAGGGAACACTATTTTCACAGTCGTAGCCGATGAACTGACTTGGGGTTTGAGCAAACCAAAACTCATTGCATGTCTGTGCCAATCACATCTGCACGAAGAACCCTCCGATGGTGTTGTGACTTGATCTTATCACACCTGGAGGAGCATGGTTGTAGGGGAAGGAATATTTCCCCTTCTTCCCCTCTAGGCTCTTTGGCTGGCCTAATCATTCAATTGACATAAAACAGATTAACAGGAGAAAAACTAATGTCATACAGATGCGAGCCCCATACGACATGAGAGTCCAAGGCTGTCAGGCAATGGAGGCTTATGTTCCATGCTGAGCTAAGGAGAAAGGAGTAGGGGTGTAGGGCTGCAGAGGGAGGGAGACGAATCCACAGGAAGATGGGCAGAGCAAATGTTTGCTAAACACACTTCTGCCAGGCCATGCAGACCTGTCTTTCTGACAGGAAAGTTATCTGGTCATGCCTCTTCCTGGTCCTGGCCCCTGTCTAAATCCCTGGGCAGTAGTAACAGGAGAGGTAAAAAGCTTTTCCTGAGTCAGCTGGCTCCTCAGCTCTAACTAGGGAGCCACATGCCAGAGAGGCCTATGCTTCTGCCCCGTGATGTTTAATTCTGAACCTCACAAGTCAAGGGAACATTACACTACTGAAGAAAAGCTGGGGGTGATGATGTGTGTCACGGAGCAAAAGCTGGGGTCTCTGATTCATATCGGAATAGTTATCTGAATACCTGAAGAGCTACAATGATAAGGGGATTTTGATTTACGTTTTATACCCACAGAGGAAAAAAAAATAGGGTAAAATTTTTGTTCAAAGGAAGAAGAATATTAAAAAACAAATAATCAAAATTATCTATTACTTTCTGGGGTAGTAAGTTCCTGTCACACGGAAGGGTAAAAAGGATCTTGGAGCAAATGAGCTCTGAGATTATTTTTTTATTATTTAAATGAATGTCATTTCAAATTTGTCATTAAAAAACAAAATGTCTGTACCAGTTCTGCCTGAAGAACCTTTTGGACATTTTATTATTATATCAACACTAGTTTGAACTAAGACAGCCTTACACGTGGAGATTTCCCTTGTAAATATAAATGTCTTTTACAAAAGGGTAACTGTTTTCAGAGCTTTTCCTACGTCTGCTGTTTCCTAAAAATAACCAGTTGGAAATAATCTTGATGCCAAAGAGGCTTATTTGGGGGTGGTGTGTTCTGATCCCCTTCACTATTTTCTGCCCGTGGTTTAGAGTAAACTTAGAGGGGTGCCTGGCTTTTCCTGGCATATCTAGCTGTCGGTGACTGGTAAACACTTTGACCTAAAATGTCAGAATTTGAAAGAAGCAGGTATGGGAAAATACTAACAAAAATGAGGACAAACTTCTAAAGTATAATGTGTAGAAAGTGTGCCCAAGTCTGAGGCACACGTCTGAGTCAGATTAGCTGTTTTGGAATGTGTTCCTACAAAGGGCTTATCCCTTTAAATGATACCTGACCTTCATTTGAGAAGGGCTCCTTGTGGCAGGTGTAAGACTCTCCACTCTCAAAGCCAAGGGCAAAAGCCTACAGACTCTATACAACTCACTATGCATATTCCTGAAGACTCTTTGATAGTCTCACAATCTTAGGGTAGCTTCCAAAGAATATGGGTGCTTTCATCAAGTGAAAAAGAAGGCTGGCTTGAGAATCTTGGCTTTCAACTGGTATACTATCAAGCCCTAGGATTTCAAATTTACATATCAATGTGTCAGATGAGTACCAGTGTCTTCTGGGGGAGGTGTAATCTCAGTTTTCCTGTGGTTTCTTGTATTAGGGATTCATATAGGATTTAATCAAAGAGAGAATCTAGCTTTTCTATATTTGAAAACTACTGCTTTAGAATCAGCTCTTCTACAGGATTAAAAAATATAATCTGGCTTGATCTAACATTGTGATGTGCTTGAAAACAGGTACATTTTTGTTTTCATTTAGTCCATTTTATTGTTTAAGAGTGTTTTATTTAATTAACTTTGCTTTAAATTAAATGAATTGAGGTTTAACTTATAGTAAAATTCACTCAAAGTATTTAGAAACGTTTTTTGTTTTCTTGATTAGGGCACATGGAGTCTACACATGTCAAAAAGAACATTTCAAGAGTGTGCGTACACATCAACAAGATGTTTATGTGGTTGTAGAAAGCAGTTGAGAACTCCCAATTTAAAGTTTTTGTATATTAATATCATTGTCGCTGAGATATGAGGTGGCAGAATATGCCACCCAAATGATGCCAGTTAGGCACAAGGATGATTTTCAGCTAAAGGCACTTAAAAACAACAGATGCAAAAGGGCATTCAAATCTCACCTTTTCTTCCTGAGAACAGGAGATAAACACTCCCATGTGAAGATGCCCTTTCTGTACAGAAAAAAAACAAAGGAATAAAAAGAAACATTTTTCACAGTAAGTCAAAGCCAAGAGAATTTTGTACAAACAGACTTTGGTAGAATATTTTTACCTTCCTTTAGCCTCCTGGTATATTTATATTAAATACCCCTCCAGATAAAGACAAACATTGTCGTTTTCAGATAAAGACAACAATTATCTTTTCCACAATTGTCTCTCTTTGTTCAACCTAGTAGCAACGTTTCGGGTTTGCCACTTCTTTGGGTCTTTGTTTCCTTATGAGGGCTCCCGTGTCAGGTAAAACATACATACATTTGTATGCATTTCTCCTGCTTTTCTGCCTTATGTTAGTTTAATTCTCAGGCACAGCCAAAAAACCCTAAGAAGGTAGAGGTAAAAATTGGTTCCCTCTCCACTGCCATACTTTATGGTGAAGAAATTTTAGAACTTGATTATTCACTTTTTTCATGTGTTGATGTAAACCTAGTATTATTTTCTGAAAAAAACTGTTGATCCTAGCCGCAGTCATATTCTCCTCTCACCAGCGCCCTGGATGGAAGTAGGCTTGTTTCGGTTCCTTCCCATAAGAAGGTTCCAAGCCAATCTTCCATCTGCTTGATTTCCTTAGTCTTCCCTTGATCAACAAGTTAGCATGCCTACACCTTGTCTCTTGCTGCAGGATGAAATCTCTGCTTCATACCTTTATAAATCCTGGTTGGAGTGAAAATAAAATTAAGCAGGAGCACTGCCTGAGAATTCTGCGTTTCCACCTTGGGCCAGCCCATGCAAATAGATAAAAGAGGAATACAGAAGAAAAACAAAAACTGAGAGCTGAAAGTATGATTCACTCTCTCTCTCCTTCTGTCCACATTAGAGTAATTTAAAATGGAGCAGAAGCAATGTGAGTAAAATGAGAAGACATCAGGGTAAGAACACCTGTATGTGTCCTGGGATGGGAAGAAGCAGTTGGTGTTTGCTGAGCCATTTAACCTGCTTCTGGAATCCTGGCTTCAGTTAGCTTCAATAAGGCGTTACCGGTTTCTTAGCTGGTACAGATACCCAACAAATTATGTGATTGACTACAGTAAACGAAGTACAGTGTACATGAAATGTTTCATCTTTTTGCATGACTTTTGCTGCAGGTCACAGGTGTACTTGACAGAGCCCCATCGTCTATGAGTACGTTGATGGAATTGCCACCACTGTGATGTAGAAGGATTTCAGAAAGTTTAATGAGACAGGGTGATGGAGAGGTTCCAGTGTCTGACACTGAAGTGTCCTTTAGGGAAGGATGGGAAGGAAGAATAGTATAAGGCGTATGGGGTGATGGATATAATGATAATAACAGACGTGCAGCCAAATGGGCAAGGCGCATTTTGCAAGAACTATAGTGATTTTCTGTTAGGATTCAGACAAATTACCTTTCAAGTTAAACTATTAATTTATCCCAATGGATCCTGCAACAGAAAAATAACATACTCAGATAGGAAAACACTCACAAGCCCTGGAAGTCTGGTTTCTGAGAGAGCAATTAATGATAGCATAACCCTTGAAAGATGTATTCATTTAGCAATTATTTGATGAGCACCTATAATTATCAGGCACTGTTCCAAATTCTGGGGATAGTACAGAGAACAAATTAACAACACTTCCTTTCAACGAGGGAATTTATATTCTAGTGGGAAGAAACAGACAATTAACAACATAAATACATGAAATAGTTTGTATGTTAGATGGTTGAAGGGAAGCAGAATATGTTAATACCACCCCAAATGTGGCTCCTGGTGTAGAATTACCTGGAGATGGCAATTTTTAAGAAAAAGCAGCCACAGGAAAGGCTCTGAAAACTGAATAGAAGTTACCTTTCTGCATGAAACATTTATATTTATAAGGGAAATCTCCATTTGTAAGGCTGTCCCTTTCTTTGTACCAGGAAAAGGAGGATGACTGAATCTACAAAACTGGCATCGATGGAGAAGTCAGACCTCACCAACGTTCCCTGTGCTTGACCTGATAATCTCCCATGACTGTCTTCCTTCACTCCCAACATCCCTGTTTTTTTTGTTTTTGTTTTTAATGTTTTGTCTTTATCTGGAGATGGTATTTAAGGTGGCAGTTTGGAACATTTTGGGGGTGGTCTGCTCAGTTTTCCTGGGCATTCCCCATGTACACAGAATGTATACATGTCATTAAATTTCTGACTGTTTTTCTCCTGTTATTCTCTCTTTCATTATGGGAGACATGGGAGGGTGGGTCAGCCAAGAACCTAGAAGGGTAGATGGAAGAAATTTTTTCCTCAACCTGGTGATTATGTGATGAAGAAAAAAAAATAATACATCAGCAAAAGAGGACAGGAAGCTCAGAGGTATGGCTTACACTTTATAAAATGCCATTAGAAAAGGTGTCTCTGAGAAACAATGTTTTATTAAAGATATTCAGGAACTGAGGGAGTGAACATGGGGGATTCTGGGTAAGAGCATTTGAGACAGAGAATAGCGGATGCAAAGGCACTGAGGTGAGAGCAAATCAGGGTTATTTGCATTATAGCAAGTTCACTAGGGGTAAAGAAAAGTGAGCAAATCGAGTCAAAATTGTCCCCGTATTACTGATAAAGAATGAGAAATTACGTGGGTGGATTCACTTACCCAGTTTCACAGAATACTAACAGACACAAGTTGTACTCGGACCTTGGATTTATAACACTGAAATTCAATTTCTTTACAGCTTTGTTCTACTATTTACACATAATTCAAGAATTGGATTCTTTATTCTCAGCTCCACATGCCAAATAAAATATCAGAGAATTCTACCAACATAGGCATCTGTTTAAGTAATGCCTTCTCTTGTGTGAATCATGTGACACATTTCAGATTCAAAAAGAACAATAACTTCACCGGGTTCATGAGGATTGTGGGAAGTCAGAGGTTTGTGATTACCCTGCATTTTGTCGCATCTATTTTTCTTAACTTGCCACACTGTTTCATAGACAGATTAAAACTTTATTTCACATGAAGCATACATTTTGTGCACAGTTTCTCTCGGTGAGATTGCCAGCACTTCTACTATCTTGAAATGATATCTTGAACAATTTAGAAACACAGAACTCTCATTTTCTCTTTCATTTGACCTTCATGTTTAGGGTGTCAAGAGCCATTTTGTTGGGAGGTAGGGGCATTGAATTCTACCTGACTACCTATCACCGGGCGTCACCTGAGCTTCATCGGCAGCAGAGAATCTGGAGAGCCTATTGACAACTGACCAGGATGACCATGACGCTTCCCTCAGGTTGATGAAACTGTAGATAACTGCATCTAGGCATTTACTTTGCAAAGATTATAAATTATTTCTCTGCCCCTTTGAGATATAAGTACTTTTTATTGGCTCTTGACAGTTTTATAACTTAGGGATGTCTTCCTCAAGGACATGGGGATTATGTCATTCCTTAACTGTTATCATCCAGGAAGGCAGAGCCCCTCTCTCCGAGTGTCTGTGGGAAAGTAGGAGCCTCAAGTCTGCGGGCACCAATTAGCAAACACAGATGGTCCAATCACAAAGGAAAACATCTGCAAACTCAGGAATAACTCGATGCGCTTGTCACAGCCCAGCCTTCAAGCTCTGCTGCTCACACGACCACCCCTCTGATCCACATTAACCTCTTTTCCACTTTTTGAGACTCATGATTAAACTGGGCATGCAGGGTAATCCGGGGTACCATTCCTATCTCAGTGTCAGCTGACTCACCGTCTTCGCTCCATGCACAGCCTTGTTTCTCTGTGCCATGTTACCTTCCATATTCATAGATTCTGGGGATTAGAATGGGGGCATCTTTGGGTAGCTGTTCTTTTTTTGCCTACCACCACGTTCTATGAAATATCTACTCTTCACTTTGAATAATTCTAGATTAGCAAAAAAGTCACAACTTAATGGCACGTATTTTCTGTCCTTAGCTGTTTAAATATCCTGTTTATTAATGATTTTAGGGGAACAAAAGGCATTAACCCAAAGTGTGTAACTTTGAATATTTGTACATTTGGGAGTGTTCGGCATTCTATGTATATACTACTCATTTCAGTAAACCCGCTAAGCACATGTCATGTGCAAAGCACAGTACTTGTGACTAAAAATAAGGCAGGCACAGTCTACTGATTAAAATAACAATCCAGTGAAAATTAAGGATATTAAGAGTATGCACAAATAAATAATATTTTAAACATCTGAAATTTCTGAAGACATTTCAACAGAATGTATTCAAAATCTATAATGATTGTTTTACCTCATACCTGGGGAAAACATGACATTTGACTTTTCTATTTTTTCTCTTCTTATTGGAAAGTTGAGCTGAATATGAGATTTACTTTGCATAGTTAAAGAAAAATAACATTGAGTGAGAGAGCTGTGTTTAAAACCATTTGGACAATTTTTCAATGTGATATTTGGCAATTCTCTTATGGTTAACTGAATAGTCTTTGAGATAATATTCAATCTTATTATTTCTATATGTGCCATGCTTACTGTTTAAGAAATGAGGTATTACCACTGTCATATCACATTTATGAAATATGAGAAGAGGATGTGAGTGCACTAAACTTTTCAAAATAAATTAAAAAAACACTATATGAACACAAAATAAGAGTTAGAATTAGTCAGTTTCTAAGGCTAGAAGATGCTGAGAGTGTTTGGTTAGAAATTTATCATTATTCTAGAACAGGTGAAGGCAGAGATATGCTATGCCTCACATGACGAAATAGAGAAGGTCATTGTTGCCTGACCAGTTCTATCATCACATAGTCTTAACTCTGTGTCATCTTATCTTGTTTTCTGGTGAATATTTCTAAGGTTTTCTAGAAGTTGGGATCAGAGGATTTTAGAGAACATGGAGACTCTCAGGATTACATAATGACATTCCTTGTATTTTTGTTTTCCAAATGAAGAGAATAAAGTCAAGTGGTACCCTGAGTTTAAGGCTGTGTCAAGTATTTTTCTAGGTAGAGAAAACTACCTGTCTCTCAGCCAGTCAAAAACAGTTTTCTATTCAGTTCTCATGAACATCAAATGCTATTTTGACACAAACATTATATGGGCAAAATAGACACAAATGTTATTTTGACTAGAAATTGGCTTGTAAAAGGCTCCCAGCTTCACTTAGATCTTACCAATGAAATTTTAAAAAAAATATAATTTAAAGCAGCTATTGAAATATCATATTTTATAGTTTTTAGTTATAATTATGCAATTTTTAAACATTAAAAGTATTGATACTGCTACTATCATTATCCCATCATCAAGGGTACTTACTGTTAACAGTTTGATATATAGTCCTCCAGATATTTTTCTTTGTAGATACTAAAAAAAGAGGACAATATAAAATCACACTAAAATCATAGCTCTCCAAATTTATCACCAATTTTCTTCTGCCTAGCAAGCTCTCCTTTCCAGAGCATCTTTATGAAAATGTATCCCGTTATTCATCTTTCATTAATATTCCCTTGCCATGACAATCCTTATATTCCTATTATTCATGCAGACTTTCTTCTCTCTCCAGAAACACATTTTAATGTCGAGTTTCTCCATGATGCTTATTCCACTGGTGAAGCTCTATTTGTGCACATTTGTTAAGCTATCTCCTTATTTTTAGCAGAGGTTCTGGTACACAGGAGCTCAATACATGTTTGTTGAATTAAATGTGGAAAGCAAAGTCACCATGTCTTTTTGTTGGTCCTGGGTTTTTATCAATCTGCTATCTATTATAGAGAAGGTAGAGAAATTTCCCATTTTATCAAATTCTTAAGCATGATTCTACAACCTTTCATGCTCCTTTGACTTTGCCTCTAGCCTGGAAAGAGTCAACCAATGCTACAAAACTAAAGACCAATGCTGAAAATTTTAGTTTCAAACTTCTGAACTTTATATTATAAGACTAATGGGACAAAATAAATATGTAATTCGTTTTACAGGCAGGCATGAGATTCCAAAAATAAATCTCACCAGAGTCAAGTGGTCTATAAAAAATTTTCTGTAACCACAGTTGTAATTAGCATTTTGTTACAAGGAACCAATCTTGGATTTAAATGCAGTTAAAAAATGAAGATTGGCTATCAATGAGTTGACTATAAGTAGCTTTGGCAAGAGCTGGAAATCCTAGGCCTGGAGTGGATGCAATAAATGTAGTGGAAATAGCAGATCAATTAAGGAAAGCATAAAAGTTTCAACACAGTATTTTATCACAAGTTATTCAATTCTGAACAACTGTCTTCAACATTATACAAAAACAACTTTGTAAGACAAATTCATACATAGAGATTAAAGAATTGTTTCCAAAAGAGTCAGAACCACAATAAGAAATAAAAGACTCTCCATAAAAATAATTTGACAAATAGCTTTAAAGGACAATATAATAATCTTACAAGTATAACTCTTCTAAGATTTATATTGTTTATTCTCTCAGATTGATTCCATCATACTCTGTTATTTACGCACACATTGTGATATATTTTTTGGTGTATATAAATCATGAATATGGAAGGACCTAGGAGGAAAGCACAGAAAAACTGAGAGAATGAGAGAATGAGAGAGAGAGAGAGAGAGAGAGAGAGAGAGAGAGAGAGAGAGAGAAGGAGAAAGAGAGAGAGAGAGAGACAGAGAGAGACAGAGAGAGACAGAGAAAAGAGAAGAAAAGAGAAGAGAAATGGATATTTAATGTTTCAGCAGTCCAAATATATGAGTCATTTGGATTGCTTGCAAATCGTGCTACATCCAACAAAAGCAAAGGCTGTAGCTTAGAAGCATTTTCCCTTCTCCATTTTGTCTGGAATTTTTAAAATGCAAGGTCATGCATCTATCCAAAATACTGCATTCTGCTATCAATTGATTTATTAAGGTGAAAGATAAGGTAAGATAATACAATTAATAGCTAAAATAAAATTAGAGGCAGAAGTCTTAGCTAGTACATTTTGAATTCCTCAACAAATTTCAAAGGAAGAAAAAAAAATAGCAAAATTATCTCATTTGGCCTCCCTGTTAAATTGGCTGCCAGTCTACAAAATACTCCTTTCTGACTTATACTTTTTCTTACTACTTTTCCAAGTTTCTGTTGATCATTAGCAGTAGACATGTAGAAGCTCTGTTTTCTACTAGAAACACAACTATTAAGGCTCTTGAGGATTCCAGGCCGAATGTTCTCTCCAATAAACCAATAGGACATGTGCTCCCCAATTAAAGAGAAATGGACGTTACTTGAGGATGATAAACAATAATAATTCCAAGGGAATCTATATTTTGCTCCCTATATTAAATAAGTAAGAATGGCTGGCAAATACAATAATGCTGTAGATTGTGTGGATCCTTCTGTTTATTTTATAGAAGCTTTATCACAGTAATGTAAATAAAAATTTCAATTTCAACTTCTCCTGAGGATCCAAACATCTTCACAGAGATAGAACAGCTGTCCCAAGTACTAAATGACTTGCAGTTAGCTACAAGTCAATGCTCCATAAAACCCCTGCAGAAGAAAACAAGTTTGTGAATGTTCCCTGAGTGAGATACTTTGAACAACAGCACTCATATGTATTTCTCTTCCATCACACCTCTGGTTGGCTCTTCTGGGGTGGTTCCTTTAGCAATCCATCATCACATCCACTCCATCTGGCTCCCAGCCGCCGATTTATCTAAAGTTATTTTTACTGTCATCTCTAAACACTGGGGAAAACACACACACATACACACACACACACACACACACACACACACACACACACACACAGAGAGAGAGAGAGAGAGAGAGAGAGAGAGAGAGAGAGAGAGAGAGAGAAATAGAGAGAGAGAGAACACGAGCGAGTGCTGGCCTGTAATTTTACTTAAATAAGTAGCAATAGTCAGTGAGATTCCAAAGCATTATACATTCAGGCCACTCTCTTTTGTGATATATTCTCTCCCACCACCCCAGCTCTCTCTCTCTGTCCCTCCCCCCACCCTTTCTCCAAAGCTCTCAAAGTGAATGATATTTATATTAAGGAATTACTAAGAAATTAATTCACTTTTCTTGGGAATTATTAGTCATCAAGTATTATTCACAGAAGAGCTTTGAAGGTTATGAGAGCATAGCTTAATACTAGGGAATTTACAAGAGGATTTTAAAAACTTTTCTTGGGTTTTTTGTTTGTTTGTTTTTAAACCTCTGGGTATATGGTTTAGCCATCTTTATAGAAATATTTTATGAAAGAAAGGGGTGATTTTAAAATTCACCAAGAATGCAAAGACTTTTTGTCACTGTTTTTGAAAGTTTTGACTGCCCTTCCTTTCTTTACTAGAGGGGGGGAAAAAACAAACAAGGAAAAATAATTTTTATGACTTTTCCAGAATTTTAGAGTAGTTTCTTCCATAGCTGAGGTCATTCTCCAGTCGTATTTCCATTCAGAAAAAAACCACAAACATTTTTATGTCTTTTTCCACATAGGAATTTTCATGGAAAACAGCGTCAAAACAAAAAAACTCATACGCGAGCTGTTTTGAGATATTGCCATGAGCTAAATTTCATGGTGTTTTGAGAAAGTCTTCGAAACTGCTCTTTGAATTTGGCCTAAAGGATAAACATTTAATTAATTAGTAATAACTTGTAAGGAGAGGAGTGTAGAAATAAGTCCTTTCTATACACACACATGCACACACACACACGCGCGCACCTGCCTAATGTGCACGTTTGGCTCTTGAATCAGGGGATAGGTCACTTGTATTATGGAATGGGGACAGGCGGGGACAGGGTAGTCTGTGTTCCTGTCACACTGTACTTCCACCTCTTTCAAGGGCTTCTATTTCACCCTAATGCTGTCACTAAGATAAAAATCACCTCGTGGCTTGTTCACGTCTCACTGTACCCCTCTGTTCTAAGGTTTTTCCAAATTATTGCAAATGACATTCCTGTATATATCACTGCAGCCCTGGTTGGTCTGGTGGCCAAAGACACCCATGTTTTTTATCCTAAATGTGTAAAAACCCACAGTCAAAACCATTTATAGAGTATATGCTTACTACTGATTTTCACATTTTTTTATGCCTTGTAATAAAAACATTTTTTTGGAAATGCAAAATAAAACACGTGCATTCCTCAGCAAGTTCATGGAAGCTCGGTGGTTAACGCTGTGGTCAGATAGGATCAAGACTGATACAGTAGCTGGTTAACACACCTCCACCAGGTTACAGTGGGGTCATACTTGTTTTCATGAAAAGGTGTGGCTATGATGGCCCTGTGTAATTCTGAATACTACTTTATGACACCATTCATTTTCTATGATAAAGAATGGATTAAGTGTATTACCCTTTATAAATGTTATGCATTCTGGCAAGTTCCAGAACTCAAAGATTTCTGTCAGTCCAAGGCATTCAAAAAAGTAACGTCCATTCATGTCACATCAAAATGTCACCAGGACAGTGCTCCATGTGCCAAAGTAGACGACTGAGAACATCTGAACTGGACTCCCAGCTGAGAGCGCCCAGGCCAGCTTCATCATCAGATGGGAAGACGTGTGTCAGTGGTTAGAACAAGGGACTCAGGGGGTCAGGGGCGGCTGTGCATCCTATATTGAATCTGAGCAGAATACAGGGATAATCGCAGGTCAGGTGCCTGTTTCATCACAGATTCATGAATAATAAATCATCGGAGGAACCATGAGCTAAAGAGGGTGGCTTATCTGCTGAAATTTGACCTTCACTAAAGACTCAGAATTCACAAAGAAAGTCTAGGAGGAAAACGGGTAAAAGTTTTGCTTTCTGCTAACTGTACAAGATGGGAACGGAAAATTTATTTTACAGATATTGTGCACAAAGAGTTTCAATGTCAAAATGAATTATCAGACAGCCCAGTTTCTAATTATAGACTAATCCAGGTATTTTCTTTTAATAAAAGAAGGAAGGCTATCTTTATCAGAAAAATCTTGGTATCTTAGAACTGGGCAGAAGCCATAGGCCTATCCAACCTCACTCCATTATACTACATGGAGGATAGCTGAGGCCAGGAAAGGAAACGGCTCACTTTATACGGCAGAGAAAGAAGTGTTAGAACCAAACTTACAACCTAGGATGTTAACTTTTATGCTGAACCATCCTGTCTCTTAGGTCACTGTCCAAATATACTAAGAAAGATAACTTCCACTTAATGTGTTAAGGGTTTAAGGGTTCCACGATAAATTTGGGCTAAAGAGGCCATGGAAGTGTTACAGACTGGATTGTGTCCCCCCAGAATTCATATGTTGAAGCCCTACCCCCCAATGTGACAGTATTATGAGGTGAGGCCTCTGGGAGGTAATTACGTTTAGATGAAGTCATGAGGGAGGTGCCCTCATGGTGGGATT